TCATTGTTTTTCACCCATTTTAGAGCGGTGCACACATAATCGGGCTGCTTTTCACATCATTTGTTTCTTCTTGTGTCATTTGAATGCTGTTTATGAACACAGTGTTGTCATGGGATAATTATCTCTCAAATAATTTGACATCTGAGAGATTCAGAATTGGAATAGATTAAAACCTTAGACTTTATATAAGAAAAAAAAATAGTTTTTTTTTTTTTTTTACTCACAAAGTAAATGTGAATGGTGTTTGCATGTGCATAATATCACCACCATAATACTAATATACTATTATCGTTTTGATTGATATTTTGAATTAGTTTTTATTTTTTTATTTCCTGTTTTTATTTTTATTTTAGTTATAGTATTTTTGTGATTTTGTCATTTTTAGTATTTAAAAATCTTTTTTTTTTTGTATGTTTTTTTAAATATGTCTATATAGTTTTGAATTATTTTTATTTCAGTTTTAGTGTGTTATTTTAGTACTTTAACTTAAAATGAAAATGAGAACTGTTTTATAGCTGCCACTACTAAAAATTAGAAAGTGTTTACATACTTAAACTGATGCACAATTCACTTACTGCCTGTTTGCATTTATTTATTTATTTAGTTTATTTATAGTTTTTTTATGTACAAATGATTACTTTGTGAACTAAAGCGAAATTACAAAAAACTTCCAATTCTTTGGAATACAAATAATTACTAATTATAAGTATTTCAATTTCTGAAATAATTGAATATACTTTTATTTGCTTATACTTTTTTATTTATTCATTGAAATTAATGAATTAAGACTTTGTTCCTGATATACATAAAAAAAAAAGAATTACAATCACTGAACATGGCCTGGATATTATGTTGACCGCAATATACAGTAATATATGTATTTCTATACAGACTTTTTGAATATTTAATTTTTTGTTGACTCCATATGGTAGAGCTTTGTCTTATAGATAAAAATATACATTTAAAAAAAGCATGAGGTCATTTTTTTTGATGTCTATTAAAAAAGAATTTAAGTAAAAAAACATGGGCTGATAGAGTTGAATGTTAAAGGGTTTATCAGTATTGAACAGCGCTGAAGCAGTAGCATTATTTCGAACTCTTGTGTGTTTTGTAGCTAAATCGTTTTGAGGCTGGGAAAGCTGCTGGTTTGTGGAGGTGAGCTGAAGGTTTTTGGTTCTCGTGATTTCCAGGTTGGTGTCTTTGCAGAGACTCGTCGAGTGTCTCTCCCCTGAGAAACATCACGCGGACGGGACGGCAGTGTGATGCACGTCCTTTCTCTGAGAAAGACACCATTAAAGGGGTCTCTTCACTGACCTCAGACATTCGATGTGTGTGTTCACGAGAAATATTACACCTCAGAGTGTGCAGAATGTGGCGAGAGACCTCATAAAACAGCCGAGAAAGACAGGAACATTCACACATCCACTCTCCTGCTTTAAAGGGCTCACACTTTATGCGTAGTTAACTAAAACTAAAACCATAAATTACTTGAAATAAAATAAAATATAAAACAACTAGTTAGTTTCAGCCAGGGCGTCATTTCTCATTTTCATTTAGTTTCACTTAATGTACTAAAATATCTAAAAATGAAATAAAAATGTATAAAAACTGTTTAGACATTCAAAAATAAATATAAAAATGATAAAAACAAAAAATTCAAAACTTTACAATTAAAATGAAAACAAAATATTTAAAAAACTAATTTAAAATATTAAAAACTATAATAGTATCCCAGTGATAATAAAATAACACTGATTCGTACTCTGGTGTTTAAATGTTTTTATCGCACTTTTATTGTGTCTCATGTAGTTTTTTATTAATATTTTGAATTTATTTTTATTTGTAATTGTGTTGTTTTGTCATTTTTATTATTATTTTTAACATGTATATATATTTTTGAATAACTTTTATTTCAGTTTTAGAGAATTAAAATGTATAGTTTTTAATAAAGACTATATTGTGTTATAATTTTTAATGTTTATTTCCGTTTTAGTGGAATAAAATGTAAATTAAAAAAAACAAATTATATATTTTATTTGTTTTATTCAATTTCAAGTAGCAAAATGTGTTTTTAATAGTTTAGTTTTTAGTTTCAGTCAACAATAATCACCCTGCTCTGAAATTCATTTGAAATGTTAGTCAACGTTTCTTGCACTAAAAACTATTTCATTTTTCATGGCCATTTCCACCTGTTTTTGCAACTGTTCCTAAGACTTCTAGATGTAAATGACCTGTTTTGATTTGGCTCATTCATCATGCAGCATACTAAATAGGCCTTGATATGTAAATGCATGCTGTCATATATTCAAATGATCTGCATGAAGTGACATTTGTAGCCCAATTTACTTCCATCATTTCCAAATGAAAAGGGACGTTTAACCAAAAAGTAGAGTGGGACCTGCAATTGACTTAAATGTGCTCATGGTTGGGAAAGTGGTGTTAAAGCAAGCCTAAATATTACAGTGAACACTTCAGTTTCCAAAAATTCAAGGAGAATTCGATTTTTCATAGTATGACGGCTTTGAAACACCCATCCATTTAACCTGTGGTCGTCTCGCAGTGGCATGCCATAATAGATTGGCCTGTGCGATCAAGTCTTTGATTTGATTTCTGTGATGGAGAGCATCAGGCCGCTGGTGGCAGATGTGAGAGAGAAACCCGCTGGGAAGAGCACTTTACTTCAACACGCACTCGATCGATAGCGTCTGCCGCACTCAGGGGGTTTATTATCAGCAGGCGGGAAGTGGAGAGCGAAAACTGTTGGGTGAAAGACTTTTATTCACTCTAGGCAGGACGCGCAGCGAGACAGACCCAAAATATCACACCGAGTCTGATAGAGGGTCTGAATCCAAACTCCTGTAGTCTTTAAACACACTGGATTTCTCTCCACAGTTACTGCAGCATAAAGAACACTAGATGTGCATTTCCAAAAGCAATAGCAATGCTTTCAAAGCAGGTCAAAATGTCTAGAAAAGGAAAAGAAAAGCATAGGAATTGTTTAAGAATTTGTCGTCTTAGGACAAGATGTTTTGCATGTTTTCATGTCTGTAACACCAACAATGCAGGATGAATTATGGGATTGTGTTTAATATTTAGTGTTAGTTTACTAGAACAGACCCCTTGCACTAAGTGTACTAAAATAATTAAAACTGAAATAAAAAATGAACATAGACATATAAAAAATTATTAAAGGGGTCATATGATGCGGTTTCAATTTTTCCTTTCTCTTTGGAGTGTTACAAGCTCTTGGTGCATAAAGAAGATCTGTAAAGTTGCAAAGACTAAAGTCTCAAATCCAAAGAGATATTCTTTATAAAATTTAAGAGTAAACCACGCCTACCTAAAACGGCTCGTTCTAACACGCGCCCACATTTCTACGTCATGATGTGGGAAGATTTGCATAACGCCGCCCAAATGTTCACGCAAACAAAGAAGGCGTAACTTTGATTCTCGCTGTAGTATTGTTGCCATGTGTTTCATTGTGAAAGCGAAACTACTTTGTTTGGCCTTCCAAAAGAGGAGGATAGAGTGAGCGTCCTCCGCTCACTCTAGCCGCCGGCCTGCGCTCACTCAAGCCGCCGGCCTGCCACTGATGATTCAAACGCGAGTTTTGAGCAGTGTAGAGTAGCGCTTGTTGTTTGTCATTTCTCTGATCACAAATGCAGACAAGGTGCGATGCAACGCAGCACTTAAAAAGACAGTATAAGTCATTATAATCCGTAATTATGTCCCCACTAAATGCAAAGAATGCCTCGTTTGTAATGGGTTTTATTGGTTTTGTCTGGTCGTGCCGGGAGACGGCATCACAGTATGGTGAGAGGCGTAACATTTCCGTCACGCGCTTGAGGTATCCGGCCAATCACAACGCACTGGATAGCTGGCCAATCAGAGCACACCTCGCTTTTCAGACCGATGAGCTTTGTAAAAATCGACGCGTTTCAAAAAGGCGGGGCATAGAGGAGAAACAATAATGTACAGTATGTGGAAAATAATGTGTTTTTTTAACCTTAAACCGCATAAACACATTTCATTTACACCAAATACACAAAATAATGTTCTTTTTAGCAGCATCATATGACCCCTTTAAAAAAACCGACAAAAATGAGTAAAATACAAAACAAAATACAAAAATGAAAACTAAATAAAAACTCATTCTAAATATTAAAAGCTATAACAGTATCTCAATGATAGTATCATTAATATACTATTGTAGTTTCATTATTATTTTGTTTGTTTTTTTATATATGTCTATATAGTTTTTAATAATTTTTATTTCAGCTTTAGTGAATTAAAATGTATAGTTTTTAATAAAAGCAATAATTTAATAATTTAATAAAGTTATTTTCTAAAAAGTTTTATTTCGGTTTGAATGACATAAAATGTTACGTTTTTAATAATAAAATTTTAATATTTAAAATAAAAATTAAAAGGTTTTCTATTTTATTTTATTTCAGCATGAAGAACACTAGATATGCTTAAGTAGTAGCTTTTGCTCAAATTGTGTAGAAAAGGAAAAGAAAACAAAGGAATTGCTTCAGAATTGGTCTTCTCAACAAGCTGCATTATTTGAGGACTCATTCATGTCTGTAACACCAACAATGCAGGAGAAATTATGTGACGGTGTTTAATATTTAGTGTTGATTACTGGAACTGGCCCTAACACACTAAGTGTAAGCAATATTAATAGAAACTATATATCAATATAGTTCCTGCACAGTAAACATTTTTTGAAGCAAATAAAACATAATTGGAATAGGTTTTACAAGAAAATACTATTTCAGTTTTTCACTGTAAAATTTCATGTTTAATTCAATGCGTTACTTGCTTTTTCTTAGTAAATTTCACAATGAATTCCAAGCAATTTCTGAGTGAAAGTTGTTTATCAAATTATTTTCAGTAATAATTCCAGTCAGGCTATCACACAAATAACAATATGACATCACTTTGTTTTGAATTCCTCTTTTCCACACTTCCTCATTTTCTGTGTTTTCTTCGTTCAGCGATGAAGAAGAGTTGCGTCAGTCGTTTTCGGAGCTGGGCGAGCAGCGAGGAGGAGTGAGGCGGACGGGCAGCGGTTTGGTTTCTCCGTCCGGAGCGCTGCTCTACAAAACGGGTTTCCTGGTGAGGAAGGTCCACGCAGATTGTGACGGGAAAAGAAGTGAGTGTCAACCAGCAGTCTGGAGTTTTCATTTTCTAGATATTTGTAATGAGTCATCTAATGTAGAAATTCATATTAGCAGAACTGCTTTTTTTGTCTTCTAAGGAAGTGTCTTTTACTTCTGAGGATTTTTTTTTTCCATTTTAGTTTATAATAATCTATACCCAGTATATCTGGCATTTGGACCCTTGCACATGAAATATGATTTTGCTATATACTATATATGTATAGTGTAATGTTGTTTAACAAAAGCATACAGTGTCAAAAAATGCAAATAATATCATTTACACAGTGATGCAAAAACATCTACCAATGAAAATTAATTTATTAGACTGCTGTATTGATATATTTGATCCATTTCCCTGCATAATAAAAGGATGTTTGCATTTGTGTTGTTATTTTTCATGTGCAATGCAGCACCTCGTGGAAAAAGAGGATGGAAAACATTTTATGCTGTTCTGAAGGGACTCATCCTTTACCTGCAGAAAGTATGTTTTTCTTTCTTTCTTTCTTTCAGATCTACTTCAAAATGTATTCAGATATTTCTGGATTGTTTGATTTGTTCAATTTTGTCGTTACATGCATTTAATTTTGTGATTTTATGAGGTTTTTCATTTTATGGTGTATTTCACATTCCTTTTCATTTTATATTAAAAAATAAATGTGTTTCTTGTTTTATATTTATGCATTTTTACTGACGTTTTATTAGTTTTTAATTCATTAACTGCAGAATTCCGTGACATATTTAATCATTTCATTATATATTATTTATTTTAAGCTAGTCTGTTAGATCCCTCCACACGTGTGTGTGTGTGTGATTGATATGAATTTTGTTCATTATTAGTTAAATGAGTCTGAGTGGTACGTGAAGCTGCTTTTGATGTTTTTGCTCACTTCAGAACATTAACAGCACTTTTGCCAATATTAGTTTAGTTTTCACTCAACATTACTAAACTTTCTAAAGATATTTTAGTGCCTTTCAAACAAATAATATCTTTTTGCCTTTATGAATATACCCAACTGCCGTTGCATTTTTCAGATATAAGCAGTTTGATGGTAATCTGCTGTATTAATGTGTTGGATGACAGTATGGTCAGTATATCAGTAATTATGAGAGGGCACTATGAGGCAAGGCAAGTTTATTTATATAACACATTTCATACTCGGAGGTCATCTCTGATATACGTTTTGAATAATAACAGGATAATTGTGTTTCCAGGGCGAGTATCGACCGGATAAACAGTTATCAGATGAGGATTTGAAGAATGCGGTGTCTATTCATCATTCGCTGGCCATCCGAGCCACAGACTACAGCAAACGGCCAAACGTGTTTTACCTCCGGACCGCGGACTGGAGAGTCTACCTCTTTCAGGCTCCGTGAGTTCACACACTCAACCACAAAACACCACAAACCTGTTTAGGAAAACATGCCATAGTCATCAAAATGTAATAACTCCATTTTCATTTGATGCCATTAAGCTTATTTTTTTGATCTGTTTCCCTCCAACCTCCTCTCATCTAGAGACATCACAATAAATTCACCATCAGTTCCACTTGGATAAAATTAAGTCTCATCCTACATTTTATTATGTTCTAGTTGAATATTCTGTTATACATGCAAATGCACTATGAGATACTATTATAGTTTTTATTCAAATTTGATTTTACTTTTACTTTTGAATTTTAGTTAAAACTTTGTCATTTTGTTGTCTGAGTTCTATCATTTTTATCAGTTTTTGTTTTTTTCATGTCTATATAGTTTTTATTTGAGATTATTTTAATTTTAGTTTAGGTTCTAGTGATTTTGTTGTCTTAACATTTTTATGGTTTTTTGTTTTTATGTCTATATGGTTTTTTATGTTTCAGTTCATTTTAATTTTAGTTAAAAGTTTTAGTTTTTTATTTTGCTGTCTGTTCTTATCATTTGTATCTTTTTTATATGTCTACATAGTTTTTATTTTTATTTCAGTTCTTTTTAATTTTAGTTAAATTTGTAATCATTTTCTTGTGTTTTTTTTTTTTTTTAATATGTCTATATAATTTTTTTATTCATTTTTATTTAAGTTTTAGTTATTTTAATACATCAAGTTAAGCTAAATGAAAAGGAGACATGTTGCCTTGGCAACTAGCACTGCACAATGTTCTTAGTAGAAAAATTAGTATTCAGATTGACAAATCTGTATCACACAGTTGTGAAAATTGCTTGCTAACCACATGTGCATATGCTTCTATACAAAAAACAAGAACATTAATCTTTAACTGGAATAAATAATCTGTGCAGCATGAAGTTCAGCATGTGATGTCTTTTCTGTCCAATTCAAAACACTCATGCAGTCCTGTCTTCTTTCTATTGTGTGTGTGTGTCTGTGTGTGTGTGTGTGTGTGTGTGTGTGTGTGTGTTCACACACATCCCTGTTCCCCAGGAGAACTCGCTCTGCTCTAGTTGAAGTTTGCCCCAGTTTCAGCTCTCATTGCTTGTGCTGGAAAATCCATATATATGTGTTTTTGTATTTCGGAAAAAAAAAAAAACCCATTTCATCCCGTTTTACTGTGATTCCATGACTCCTCAGATTGGTGGAACGGTTTTAGGATTATATGTAGTGTTCTAATGAAGCATTTTTGTAAAAATGTCTATGACACTGCTTCCATTTCATCATTGAACCACCACAGAGCTCGTTCTGCATCTTACTTCAAAGGTCTTATGGCTAAAAACCTTTAATGAGATTTTTACTTCTAGAACCCGTCTGTTGCAGTCTGGTTCTTCTTTTAGATGTTTTCTATCATTATTAACGTGGATTTGATTTATTCGTGTAGGAATGCTGAACAAATGCAGTCTTGGATCACACGCATCAACACGGTGGCAGCCATGTTTTCAGCCCCGCCCCTCCCTGCTGCCATTGGCTCACAGAAGAAATTCAGTCGGCCGCTGCTGCCAGGCTCCGCCTCCAAGCTGTCACAGGTCAAATGAGCTGATTTGCATAAATGTTGTCACATACCTGTATAAATGTTATCATTATAAGGCTTTGTACTTGAAAAATAATTAAGTCGTATAATAATAAATAATATGATGAATATAATAATAAATACATATGAATAAATTGGTAACACTTTGCTGTAAGATTTCATTAGTTAACTACATTAGTAAACATTAAGATTAATAAATGATGCTGTAGAAGTATTGTTTATCTTTAGTTCATGTCAACTAATGTAGTTAAAAAAGAAACCTTTTTGTTAAGTGTTACTAATTATTTAACAATAACTGTTAATAATTATTTTACCTATTTGCATGACATGCATCACTTATTGATTTCAGTTATGATGCTTCCTTTAAAGACAGCTGCTTATGCAGTCAGTGAACAGCGAGGAGGCTCACTGTTTTATAAGAGTGACTGTGCATGTACTGTATCTGTGTTTATATAAACTACGGTGTTATAAAGTGTGTGTATGTGTGTAGGAGGAGCAGGTACAGGCTCATGAAGCTCGATTTCGCTCCATCTCCACTGAGCTCGTACAACTGCGCTCTTATCCACCTGACAGGAAGGTGAAAGGTCGTGAACTTGAGGAGTACCGAATGAGGGAGGAATATCTAGAGTTTGAGGTAAATATACACTATGGTTCAAAAAAGGTTGGTACATTTTTTAAATGTTTTTGAAAGAAGTCTCTTTTAAAATCAAGGCTCCATTTATTTAATCAAAAATACAGTAAGAACAGTAATATCTTGAAATATTATTAAAATTTAAAATAATTGTTTTCTATTTGAATATATTATAAAATGTAATTTATTTCTGTGATCAAAGCTGAATTTTCAGCATCATTACTCCAGTCTTCAGTGTCACATGATCCTTCAGAAATCATTCTAATATTCTGATTTGCTGCTCAAGAAACATTTCTGATTATTATTAATTTTGAAAAAGGTTGCGCTGGTTAATATTTTTGTAGAAACTGTGATAATTTTTTTAGGATTCTTTGATGAATAGAAAGTTGCAAGGAACAGCATTTATTTGAAACAGAAGTCTTTTGTAACATCAGACATGTCTTTTGTCACTTTTGATCAATTTAATGCACTGATTAACCAAGTTGTTCTTAAAGGAATAGTTCACCCAAAATTGAAAATTTGCTGAAAATGTGCTCACCCTCAGACCATCCAAGATGAGTTTGTTTCTTCATGAGAACAGATGTGGAGAAATGTAGCATTGCATCACTTGCTCACCAATGGCTCCTCTGCAGTAAATGGGTGCCGTCACAATGAGAGTCCAAACAGCTGATAAAAACATCACAATAATCCACAAGTAATCCACACCACTCCAGGCCATCAGTTAACGTCTTTAAAAGACAAAAGCTGCATGTTTGTAAGAAACAAATCCACCACTGAGGCATTTGTAACTTCAAACTGTCACTTCTGGCTAAAATATGAGTCCATAATAATGAAAAAGTCCATCTCCTGTTGTCTCACATCAAAATCCACTCACATATTTGTCTAGAGCTGTTTTGGCTTGTAAACGGTGCTTGATCTGTGCAGATTTTTCTCCTGATTCAGACGAGACAAGTTTTTCACTGTCGGAAGCGTTATTATGGATTATGGACTCGTATTTTAGCTGGAAGCATCATTTTGAAGTTAAAAACCTCTTAATGCTGGATTTGTTTCAGCTTTTTGCTTCACAAGACATTAACTGATGGACTGGAGTGGTGTGGATCACTTCTGGATTACTGTGATGTTTTATCAGCTGTTTGGACTCTCATTCTGACGGCTGGCGGAGGATCCACTGGTGAGACAATGATGCAATGCTACATTTCTCCAAACCTGATGATGAAACAAACTCATCTACATCTTGGATGGCCTGAGAGCATGTACATTTTCAGCCAATTAACGAAACGTCTCCATCTTGTAGAAAACGCGCTATGAGACGTATAGCATGCTCCTGCGGGCGAAGCAGCGCTGCGACGACGATGACCTGTCAGTGTTTGAAGCCATGCTCTTGGAGGAAAGTGCGCTACAGAGATCTCAATCCAGCCCCACGCTGCAGGAGAGCAGTATGACCTGCAGCACCAGAGACGGCGCGAGTCAAAGCGCTGCCGCCGGCGCACAAGAACCATCCGGCAACGGCAACAACAGCTGCTCCCGCGGTCAGGGCCAGAGACACAGCTACCGGCAGGCCGTCCGCAAGTGAAGCCGCCGCCGCCACCCACAGGAAGCTCGCTGTACTGGAGAGGAAGTGAGGTCTCTCTCTTTCCTGTGTGCGCCCTCCCTGCTCTGTGTGCCATCAGGAAGGGGTGTTGATTCCGACTGAATCTGACTCTGTGATTGGCTGATGGCTGGGTGATGTCACAATACAAGGTGCTATGGGATCTGGATGGGAGAACGTGATTAGGATTCGGAGAAACGTAAATATGAAATGCATAACCTTCCTTTGCCTTCTAGTTCTCGGTTTCTTCTGCGATTTCTTACCTGAAGCCATTTCATCGCACACTACCAAGTCAAATCTGGGCCTAAACGTCTTCAAACCTTTAAAATATGACCGTGTTAGAAGGTCTTCAGTTTTTGCATTTCTAGAAATAACTCATTTGTTTACCATGCATATTAAAATTCACAAATTCTGCTCAAAATGGTCACGAAGAGTATCAACGCTTGGCAGGGCGACATCTAGGATCTGTGTATTTTGTTATTTGTCATATGGGCGTCTCATTTTGTCGTGTTTATGAACGGTAGATGAGCAGAAAACTGACTAGCCCATATGCAACTAGTTATTTCTTCATGTTGTTCTAAGCATTAGCAAGCTGTATTTGTACAGTAATGCACAGGGACATCATAGTCACTAAATGCACCATCCGTTTGCTCTGCAAAACCCCGTTTTGCCCTAAAACGTCTTTTGCACTGAACACTAAATATAATTACACTGCGAAACTCATTTTCTCAATCAGTAGTTTGTCTTTTTTCTTATAAAAATATTTAAGCATCCTTAAAATTAGATCTATAATTGAGAAACAAATTTTGTATATTGTGTCTTGAATTAAGATTTTCTTACCTCATTTACAGGTTGTATTTTTCCCTAGTTTTTAAGCACAAACCTCACCAAATTTTGTAAGATGTATGCGTAAAATAGGAAAAAACATTTGTGAAAAATTCTGAAAAAAGATCAACTTAATTCAAGTTATATTCTCTGAAAACAAGTTTCAGTATGCAAATGTACATTTTAAGAATGTTTAGATATTTTTGTTGAAAATTAAAACACCAATTTAGTTGAGAAACCATTTTTGTATATTGTCTCGAATTAGATCTATTAACAAATTTTGCATATGTCTTGAATTAGGTTTTTCTCACCCCATTGAAAATATTTTTTCTTGTTTTCTGAATATTGAAATATAGAAAATATTGTTTTCTAAAATCTCTTTTAGTTAGATTTCTGCTTAAAACAAGAAAAAGCTATTTACAAATGAGTTAAAATAGACTTAATTCAAGATATATTCTCTGAAAACAAGTTCTAATATTTTTGGTGAAAATTAAAATGAAATCTATTTAGTTGAGAAAAAACTTTGTAATAAATCTTGAATTAAGTTTATTAGCAATTTTCTCATTTTCAAGCACAAACCTCAGTATATTGTTAGATTCGTTCTTAAAAAATCTATTTGTGAATAAGTTAAGAAAAATACACTTAATTCAAGATATATTCACTGAAAACAAGTTCTATTGGCAAATTTGATTTTTTTTTTCCCCCATAGTTTTTAGGCAGAAACCTCACAAAATTTTGTTAGATTTATGCCTAAAACAGGGAAAAAGACAATTCGCAAAATCCAAGATGTTTTCTCTGAAATCATAATGTGCAAAATTACGTTTTAAGGCCGTTTAGATATTTTAGTGAGAGAACAAGACAAGATAAAAAAAAAAAAAACAGTTTGAGAAAATGATTTCCGCAGTGAAATGAACAGAGACTCGTATCTTTGTCTGTATAGTTCATTTCTTGAATATGCTCTATTTTAGCTTCTCGTCCTTGTCTTTCTGCATTATTCTCTTGGCTGAATGTTGTCTGCTGTGTACAGCATGGCTGACTAGTGACAATCTATCGTGTTTGTTCAGTTCAACAGAAGCTGAAGTCGGTAGGAGGCTCACAGCGTGTAGTTCATGAGTCAAACGGACCCGTTACCCACGCAGCGCACTGAATGTCATCTTTTTCCTGTTAAACGCAGTTAGTCAGTGTTTAAGACGCACTTCCCCTTATTGCTTTCTTATGTAATCGATGAGAGAGAGTGTGTATATGCGCAAAAATATATCACCTATTTAAGGAATGTTTTAAAACTTATAATGAATGTGGTGTGTCAATCAGAACTGCCACATGCAATATTCAGCATAGGCCTGTTTGTGTGATCGACGCATATGTGGATGTTTAATTACACGGCACGCAGCATCCTGTGACGCGATGAATCGGGTGCTTGAAACCGTTGAATGTACCATGTTTTTCACCATGGTGATGAGATTCCGGCATCACATTTCAATCTCAAGCATTGTTTTTACCTTAATGGATCCTTTTGCAGATAATCATGTGGTGTTTCAGTGAGTAAATATGGTGTAAGATAACATTTCCTCAAACTCTCTGAGCTGTCTTGGCTCGAGTCGAAACTGACATTATCTTACAGTGTTACAGAGAGTCTAAAGGGCAGATAGGAGGAAATACAAGAGGAATACAAGTAAAAAATGTATGCCTGTTTATGAACTTTGTAAAGTTATTTGGGTGAATATCACAAGAAAACGCATCTAAGTCACATTTCACTCCAAAATCAAAAGGAAAAAATATGATTTTTTAGGACCGTTAAGGGTTTATTTATTTATTTTTTATATTGACATTATTTTCATGAAAATTAAGCACATTTCTTCCAAATACATGCATTTATTTTGAAATTCCCATCATTTTATACTCTTTAGTTTCTATTTAATGTAGCCTGACATACTGTAATAAAACAGCTTTTTTTTATTGAAATTGGCATTATTTAAAATACAAAAAAAAATAAAATACTATGACGTATAAATATAATAAATACAATTTTAGGTAAATATATTGAAGCCCATTTTAGGACCATTATTTATATATTTATATTATTTAATGGCACTTTGGGTTTGAGAAAAGCGCAATTTAAATAAAATTCATTATTATTATTATTGTTATTGAATTGTCCTAAAATGGGCTTGAATATCTTGACCTATTTTTTCAAGACCATTTATTTATTTTTGATATTGGCATTGTGACATTAGACATTATTGTCATGACAATGAAGCACACATTTTATATCCCATTGCTGTAATGCATGTATGGTCCTGAAAATCTTTAACTAGAATACTTTTTGTGTTGATTTTGGTGTGAAATCATGACCTGTTAGTGTTTTGTGAGTTTTACTCAATTCATCAACCGTCAGTGTTGATTTCACTGCTGAAATCTGCTGTTGTTCCTCTAATATAGTCCACCTTATCGATACAGCGCTGTATATCCAGAGAGCATGATGTTGAATAATCTTGTGCGATTTTAGGTGAATATAAAGTCGGAAAGCCATTCTCTGCTCAGGTGTCATTTGAATATAATGTAACAGTTGCCATGCATTCTTCTACCAGCAGAGCGCTGTCTTCAGCCAAACATACGAAACCAGAGCGAGAGTGGAAAGATCCACTGATGCGTTGCTCGGTTTGTGTTTGTATGCATATTTATGTCATTTTGTTGACTTTTCATGTTTAATGTTGATTTACTGTCGAGTGTGTTGATATACTGCTCTATATAATGCACATACAAACACACACATCACGTCTGACTCTGCTGAGCATCTGTCGTGTCCTGCTATGATGAAATCAATCGACTATGACCAATATGATTATCATATGAAACTATATTTTTAATTAAGCAGCACCTGAATGTACATAAACGGCATGAAATTCTTCTGCTCTCATTTGCATCTTGTGTCTTGTTCTGAGGTGATTTTGTTGTGGATTGAGTGTCGTTTGATGACTCTTGGTGGAGGATTGCTGCTTGTTTAAGCTCGTTATAATGTCAATGAGGACAAAACTGATGTTGTTATCGACTGAAAGTGAAGGAAACACTAAATTGTTTTGTTTACTTTTTATTATTTCTTTCAAGTTCCTTTATTCTTTCACTTTGTTCCTGGTCTTTCATATGTGGTTCGCTTGTATGAAGTTCTGTAAGGACCGTGTTTGTACAGCCTCTCTTTATGATGGCCTAAAATACAGAAATAAATAACAAACTATAATGAAACACACCAAACTTCCCACGTGTACTTGATTGTTTTTCGATTTCAAAATTGATTGTTTGATTATTGATGCACTTTGTGAATTATATTAAAAGACATTTTTGAGA